GCCACCAGCCCCCCCCCCCCCACCGCCCGAGGGCAGTGGCGTCGCTCGGTTGTGTTTGCAACCGGCCCCCCCCCCCCGAACGCATGAAATCGCGCCAAATACCTGAGCAGAAGGAGCACCCCGGCGTGACCTCCCCGTGATACGCAGAATACCATTCCACACTCATGACCCACAATGCACCCGGCAGCGATCAGCGCGGAAAAGGCCCGCAGAACAAGGGAACAAGGGAACACAAGGGGGGGCTATTTTACAGAAGGAGAGAGGGAAACACAAGGGCGAGATAGGGGGGGGGGGGGGGGGGGGGAGGAAGCCAAAGGGGCGACGGATGTTGCGATGATTGGGCGGGGGAGGGCCGTACGGCGCCCCCCCCCCTCCCCTTCCCCCTGGGCCGGACCATCACCACGTCCAGTCATCACCGGCCGACATGAGGAACGGGTGGTGCAGGAGCTCGGCGGCGGTGGCACGCGTTGCGGCCACCGGGTCCAGGCACCGATCCAGGAGGTCAAACAGCGAGTCCGGGTACCGGCGACCGGGCATCAGCCGGGCATTGAGGCTTTCGCACAGGAGCCGCCAGTCGACCGAGCCATCCGGGCGGATGTGCGGCCCGTCCACCGGCAACCCGGCCGGGGTCAGACACTCGCCCGGGGTCCGGTGCGCCGGGCCAATGGTCTGGGTCGACCCCCGGTCGAGGCCGGTCATCGAGGGGAACTCCAGGCCGAGCCCGGCACACGAGGCCACCGGGCTGCAGAAGAGCCGCCGGCCGCAGGCCTCGGCCGCGGCCAAAACCCGCTGGTGGCCGACCACCGCCCGGATCTCCCACAGGGCCACCAGGTCGTCGTGCGACAGGAAGAACGGGTATCGGCCAGTGCAGAGGGTCAGCAGCACCACGCCGGCCGACCAGATGTCAATGGCCGATGTCTGCTGGCGGTTTTTCAGCAGGACCTCCGGCGCGCGGAATCCACGTGTGCCCGTGCGGGCGGCCTTCATGCGGGGGCTATTGGCCGGGCGGGGGGGGGGGGGGGGGGGGGGGAGGCGAAGTCGAGCACAGGGTAGGCCCGTCAGCATCCGGCGAGCCACGACAAGGGGGCGGAAAAAAAATATGCGGGAGCCATGGACGGACCGGTCGTCGATGTCGTAAAAGCCGGCGGGGCCCTCATCATTGGAGCCCTTGTACAGGCTGTTGGGCGGCGGCTTGGCCGGGGCAGGGTTGGCGGCGGAGGGCGCGGCCGACGTGCCAGACCCGACAGATGCCGCATCTTCGGGCTTGCCGGTCGGGCCCTGCAGCTCGCTCTGTTGCGCATGGGGCAGCCCGTGTGCGGTGCATCGTGTGTGTGTGTGTGTGTGTGTGTGTGTGTGTGTGTGTGTGTGTGTGTGTGTGTGCGTGTGTGTGCGTGTGTGTCAACATCGAGCGGACACCCGGCGGAGGGAGGCAAGCCCGGGGGCAAGAGCGCGTGGAATGCCGCAGCCGGCAACATGGGAGGAAAGACAAAGCGCACCGCATACTGGGCAAGGCCGAAGTCCACCAGGCGCGCACGGCCAGTGGGCGCGTGGAAGAGGAAGTTCGCCGGCTTCAGGTCCCGGTGCAGGACCCCGCAAACGTGGATGTACGCAAGGGACTCGAAGAGCGCGCGTAGGTACTGGCGAATGAGCCGCGTGCTGGGCGGGTCGGGCCCCAGCAACTGGCGGAAGTCCGTGTGGGGGAAGTACTCCAGCACCAGCAGCACGTGGTCTTGGTTGCGGATGCCCTCGTGCAGGGCAATGACATTGTGACGTCCCCTGTTGAGGGAGGGAGACAGAGCCACGGACAAGGGCGGCCAGAGCCAGGGGCGGGGGAGGCGGAGTGGGGAGAGTTAGCCGGTGACAGCGGGGTCGCGCTCGGGGCACGCACGGGCGGCGCAGCTCATCACGCACCCCAGGTCCATGAGGAATTTCACCTCGGCCGCAATGCGGCTCGGCGAGCTGGAGAAGTAAATCCGCTTCAGGGCGAATTCCCCGCCGCCATCATCCTCGTATGGGCCCTCGAGGTCGTCGTCGCGCCGGTCGCGCGGCGACACCAGCTCCGAGGTGATCAGCTCCAAGTCCCGACTGGTCAGGGACGGCGCACGGGCTCGCGACGAGGAGGCCGGCACCGGCGGCGGAAGCCCAGTCCGGGGGGTGCCCGGGGCTCGCCGGGCCCGGTACACCGAGCTGAATGTCCCCTCGCCAAGCTTGGCCGTCAGCCGATACCGCAGCCCGAGCCCGGGGAAGTCCTCGTACACGGAGGCCAGCTCGCTGGCCAGGAACTCCGGCTTCATGTCGTCAAAGGGGTCAGAGACACGCTGGCGAGGGAGTGGAGGAGGGGCCCGCGGGGGAGCAGCAGAGGGCGGCGCGAGGGGGGGGAGGGGGGGGGGCGCGTACCGTGGCATCGAGGGGCACATATTCCGACTCGGTGCTGGTGGTGAGGTCGATGGTGGGAGGGCCCGCCGGGCCGGCGCCGGTCGTGGCCGCGGCCGCGGTTGCCGAAGCTGAGGCGGCATTGGCCGAGGCTGAGCCGGTGGCCGGCGGGGGGGTGACATTCCGGCCCGGGCCGGGGCGCGGCCGGGAGGGGGTGATCGGGGCGGCCGGAGCCCCGGCGCCGGGCCCCGGCAGGGGGGGGAGGGCGGTCGCATCTGCCGGTCGCGAGGGGGCCGGGGCTCCGCCAACCACCGCCCGCCGGTCACACGCGGCCAGGGACGCCGATGCAGAAGACGGGGCGGTGGCGGCGGCGGCGGCGGCGGCGGCGGAGGCCAAGGTGGCGGTCGCTGCGGCCGACGGCAGGGCGGTGCCCGTGGTGGTCTTCGTGGCGGCGGTGGCCTTTCGCGCGCGCGGGGCCGCCGGGGCGCGCTTGGCTTTGGCCGGCGGTGCTGGGCCGTCGGGACCCGCGGCCGCCGTCGCCGTCTGCTTTTTGGAGGGCGCACGGGGGCGTGGCGCGCGAGCGGCCGGCGTGGCGGCTGGGGGAGCACCAGCGGCCGGGGCATCGGCAGCCAGCATGGCCACCGTGGCCTGGCTGGTGGGGATGTCAGCCACAGCCGGGGGGATGACCTCCGGGGCGGGGGACGCACGGGCGCGCCGGGCACCGGTCGAGCGTGGCTTCTTGGCGGTGGTCGCGGTGGCCGTTGCCGCGGCGGCGGCGGCCGCCGCCGCCGCCGCGACCGTGGTGTGGAGTGAGGAGAGAAGGGCATTGGAGTCGGCCGCCGCCGGGGCGGTGGCCGCCGCGGCCTTGACTGGTCGGGATCTGCGCGCGACCACGGCCGGCGGGAGCATTGTCGGACCGGTGACCGTGCTGGCGGCGCGGGGCGGTGACACCCCTGCCCCGGCTGCCTGGTGTTGCAGCAGCGAGGCCGATGGGCTGGCCGCCACGGAGGCCGAAAGGCTCGAGGCCAGCGTGGCCGATAGGCCAGCGCTACTGACGGTCGAGGTGGTGCTGGCAGGTGCCCCGGTGCCGGGGAGTCCCCAGCCAGCCTGTTGGTGTGGGAGGCCCGGAGGGAGGGGAGGACAGGGGACAGGCCCAGTAGCGACATTGGTCAGGGCCGGGGGCTTGGGTGCTGCTGAGAGAGGGCCAGGGGAGAGGGGGGAGGGGGTGCGCACCATCAGCGAGGGGGGCCCAACGGGGGCGGCCGAGGTCGCGGCGGCGCTCGACGAGGTCGCCTCATTCTCCGCTGCGAGGGCCAGCGCCGCGGTGGCAGAGACGCTTGGCGGGGCGACCATCGGGCGGGAGCTAGGGAGCCTGGGTGCGGAGGGAAGACAAAGGAAGAGGGGAACCACGCCGGGCTGCGGGACGCCGGTGCCCGGGCAGGGGGGAGGGAGGCAGGAGGTGCGAGAGAAGGGTGCCGAGGAGCGATGGGGGAGGGGAAAGGGAAAAGGGGAGGAGGGGGGGGGGGGGCAAACGGGCGGCACCGGCGCGGGTGCAGGGGCAGGAGGGGGGGGGGCGTCGTGGGGTGTGTGGCGGGGAGGGGGGGGGGGGGGGTGGGGGGGGGGGGGGGGGGGGGGGGGGGGGGGGGGGGGGGGGGACGGTATGAGATCACCTCGGGACACCCGTGGCGGGGCCAGAGGCCCCGCCGGCGCAGGGGGGGCGTGTGCTCCCCGGGGAACTGACGATGGGCCCGATCGAATGTGCGGGGCGTGGGGTCCATCATAGGCTCGCAAAAGGGATATCTGCGGCGCCCTCCCCCATGGGGGAGGGGGGGCGGGGGGGGATACGTACGAAGGGGGGCTGTGCGCCGGAAGGCCGCGTCACCCGGGGGCCGCCGCGGCTGCCACCACCACCACCGTCGCCGTGGCCCGGCCACCCAGCGGTCAACCGCCGAGAACAGCGCCGCGAGCGATGACAGACGGGTTTCCCCCGGCGCAGCGCGCCCGCTGGCCGGGGCCCCTGTTTGTGTTGGGCCCTTTGGGGGCGGGGGGTGACGCTCCGGGCGGGGTGGGGGGGGGGGGGGGGGGCGCCCGCTTTTGGGTCGATCTTTGGGTGGCTTGCGCTGGGTTGCAAGTTCCGTCCCTCTCCCCCCGCCGCCGCCGCCGCCGCCGCCGTCCCGGTGCGCCCGGCGACCGTCTCCCGCTGGCTATCGAGGGCGGTCGGGCCGCCGACGTTGGCGCGGGAGCCAAAGTGGGCCACCTGACATGCACGTGCGGATGGGGCGTTTGTCAGCCCTTAGGGCACCCTTTAGGTCGGGGCATGGCGCGCCGAATCCCATTGGCACCTCCCCCTTGCTGGCCCGTTGGCACGCAATTCTTCGATCGCATCTACGCTGGCCCAGGCAGCCGATCCCGACTGTGTTCCGTTGTGACTGTCCTTTGCTTGCTTTCCAGCCCCCCTGGCAGCCCTCACCACATCCGCCGGACCAACTGAACAGGCTTCCAGCGTCCAGACCTCCCTCCTCCTCTGGCCCTCATCGGCGTCTCTCTGAGTACGCCGCCGCCCGGCCATCGGCCTGTGCTCATTCATGCCTGAGGGGCGCGCGACAGGATGTCGCCCCTGGGCCAATACATTGCCGCCCTTCCGCCCTCGTTCGCCGCCTCGCTCCCCCTCCCCCCCCCCCTTCGCCTCTCCCCTTCCCTCTTTACTTGTGCTCCTTGCCCCCGCTCGCCTCACGCCGTGGATTGACCATGTTCCGGCTCCGGCCAGTCTCCGCCGCCGTCATGCGCCATGCCGCTACTGTCGCCCCGGGTCGGGCTGGGTTTTCCTCCGGGCGGACTTGGTCCGGTCCGCCGCTCCCGCCGTCTGGCCTGCCGCCGGCTGGGCTCTCGGCGCCGGCGGCCTTCCTCCCCTCGGCGGGCGGGCCGCCAGGCCCTGCCCGGGCCGTGGTGCCGGCTCTGCTGGATGCCACGCGCCGGGCCGAGCTGGAAGGCGGCGACTACATTTGCCCCCCGGGCGAGGCGGCCTACATGACGCGCGAGCAGGCGCTAGCCCTGCTCGGAGGCCAGCAGCTGCCTATGTGGCTACCCGGCGCCGGGCCCTGCACCGAGGGCGATGGTGGGCGTCTTCCGGTTCTTGACAAGTTCACGGGCGAGGTGCGTGGACACTTGCCCGGCCATGCTCCCGCACCGCCCGCCCCCTGCCCTTTGCGCATGCACGCATGCACAGGCACCCACACACACACACGCCCCCCCCCCCCCCCCCCAGAGGGATCTCCTCATCCCCCTGGCGGATTGGCTGACCGGTCGACGCGCATAGCCCTTCGCCTGGGTGCCGCAGGCCAGCCGTGAGCAAATGCTGGACGCGGTGGCTGTGATCCACGAGAATTCGCCCAAGACCCTGGGCGCCCTGCCCGCTTGGCAGCGCCGGGGGATCCTGCTTCGTATTGCGGCCGACGTGCGGGCCGACTGGCGGCGCTTCGCGACGGCCATCTCCCTGGAGAATGGGAAGCCCTGGCGCGACAGCATCACCGAGGTCATGCGCTCGATCGATGTGCTTGAGCAGTCCGCCGAAGTGGTGACCGCCATGGGTGGCGAGTGGCGTGCGTGCCTGCCGAACATCCGGTGTTTTTCCTGCTCTGCATTCTTGGCACTCACACCTCGCTCCTGGGGCTGGCGTGTGTGCATGGGCCTTTGTGTGTGTGTGTGTGTGTGTGTGTGTGTGTGTGTGTGTGTGTGTGTGTCCATGTCTTTCCATGCTTATCCATGCGTGTCCATCTGCTTCCCTGCGTGTCCATCTGCTTCCATGCGTGCCCATGTGCGTCCCTGCGCGTCCATGTGCGTTCATGTGCTTTCATGCGTGTGTCCATGCGTGTCTGCATGTCCGTGTGAAAAAAAAGGCCACCTCGATGAGTCGCCCCGGGCCGAGGGCTTGTCCTACCGGACACAGCGCTTCCCCCTGCCGCTGGCCCTGCTGGTGACGCCCTTCAACTTCCCCCTGAATTTGGTCATGCACAAGATCGGCCCGGCCATCGCGGCCGGCACGGGGTTCCTGCTGAAGCCGGCCGCGCGGACGCCCGTCAGCAGCATGCTCCTGGGGGAGATCCTGGCACGGCACTTGCCGGCCGGCTGCTGGGGCATTGCCCCCTGCCAGTCGTCCCTCGTGGGGGAGCTGCTGGCCGACGGGCGCGTCAGTGTGGCCTCCTTCACCGGGTCGCCGGCGGTGGGCTTGGCCCTGCGCCAGGTGGCCCATCCGACCCTGCACCTGGTGCTGGAGCTGGGCGGCAATGCGGCCACCATTGTCGACCAGTCGGCCGTCCGCCCGGGGCCCGAGGGCGCCGGGGACATCGATCGCCTGGCGGCGCGCATCACGGCCGGCGGGCTCGGCCAATCCGGCCAGTCGTGCATCAGCGTCCAGCGGCTCTTCGTCCACCGGGAGCACTATGATGCCCTTCGCCAGGCGCTGGTGGAGCGCTTTTCCCGCGTGCGCTCCGGCTGCCCCTTCGACCCGGCAACCGACATCGGCCCGGTGGTGTCGCTCGACGCGGCGCGGCGCATTCACCAGCGCGTGCGCGATGCCATCGACAACCACGGCGGCAAGCTGCTGGCCGGCGGCGTGTGGCCGGGCACCGACGAGCAGCTGGATGAGCAAGCCACCCCCGGCGGGGCCGGCTGTGCGCCCGGCACGGCCGGAAGCCGCTGCGACACGATCCCCGACCCGTGCGGCGGTCCGGCGGTCCTCTACCCGGCCACCCTGCTCGAGGGGGTGGACGCCAGTGCGGGCCTCGCCCAGCTGGAGGTCTTCGGGCCGGTGGTCCTGCTCCAGGCCTTCGACGATTTCGACGCGGTGCTGGCCCAGGTGAATGACAGCCAGTTTGGCCTGCAGGCCGGGCTCTTCTGTCGCGACGTGGCTCGAGTGCGTGCGAGTATGCCTGTCCGGGCAACTCGGGAACATCTCCCCCCCGCCAGGGTTCTGGGCTCCGTGCGGGTCTTTGCTAACAC